GAGCTCACTTCAATTAGTAGTTAGTAAAAATATTCCTTTAAATGATATCCCTTACCCATTCATACTGAGAAATATCCACAATACTTCTTATGTTTTCTCTAAACTCTTATGACTATGACAGAATAATTATTGACAATTGATTTGAAACTATTATTTAAAAGGTAAAAGTTGTTTCAGAACCACCGAGACATCCTAGCTTATTTGTTTTTTTTTCATCCTAAAGGAAATGTTCAGGGACAAATAAACTAAACTGCAAACAATATTTCAATTCATAGAACCTAACCAAACAGAAATCTCACCAACATAAATGGCTTTTTTCTTTGCCATTCCACTTTTCACTAAAAAAAATGACAACAAAGGCCAAGTACACTTATACCAGGAATTAAAAACATACCCAAATGCATTTAGTTAAACTCCCCTATTTGTTGATTACAATAATATGCTCTGCTATACACTCTACATGACAGTACTAACCATTACAGATTCAATCATACTCCTCACAAAGTACTTCTATATACCTATACTGTGAGTCCCACCATAGCCTTTTGAAATTGGTATCATTTCTCATTACCATTTTACGAATGAAGAAATGGAGCTCTAAATAGCCTTATAATGTCATCAAGTAGTAAATAGTACACTTAGTACTAACTTCAAGTCCTGTATTCTTTCCACATTTATCATACTATACTTATACTAAGACAAGATACATACATACATATACACACATGTTAGATATATGATTGTATATAATCATATATGATTATACATATGAACTTGCATTCTGTATAGAACTTACAAACTATTTCTAAGTTGGAATTCAGGAAACTAGAAAGACCCATCTATGGAACATTTTTCTCTATTGGTAAGATGAAATCTATATGAAGTAAACCTCTGAGGTCATCAGCGCCTTCAGTGAGACATGTACTCTCTTTGCTACTCTACTGTCTTCACTATGTCTGTGGGATTCTGGGAATGTCCTAGGTACAAAGTGTCTTTTTCTGTTTCCTTGGCAGAAGTTTCAAAGCAAAGTCCAATGTCTTTTATGCAATTCCAAGTTCTCAATTGCTGTGAGGATGTTTTTAGCACTTTTAAAAAAGATTTTATTTATTTATTTAAAGAGAGGGGACGGGAGGGAAAGAGAGAGGGAGAGAAACATTAATGTGTGTTTTTCTCTCACATGGATCCCACCGGGGACCTGGCCCACAACCCAGGCATGTGCCCTGACTGGAAATTGAACTGGCAACCCTTTGGTTCGTAGCCTGAACTCAATCTACTGAGCTACACCAGCCAGGGTTGTTTTTTTAGCACTTTTTAAAACAACATTGTTTAATAGAACTTTCTGCAATGCTGGAAATGTTCTGTATCTTCACTGTCCAATAAGATAATCATTAGCCTTACACATTGGTAGTTATCGAACACTTAAAATATGAATAGTGTGATTAGGAAACTGAATTTTTAGTTACATGTGGCTAGGGACTACCACATTGAATACAGTCTTTCTGGATAATTTAAAATTATGGTTCACAGGGCCCAGAACATCCCACTAACTGGCATCCTTGAAAGATCACCCAGTGGGGGTCCAATAGCAGTTAAGTATTTAATTATGAGTTATGCCTTAATTGATTCTAGAGAGGGGTTGAAGCAGAATGTTGATTTTAGCATTAAAAGGTATATGGGGATCTTTAAGTAAAGGGTAACAAATGGGGGTATGTTGTAGTAAATATTAAGAAATAAAAGAGCAGAATAGTACCATTTAAATTGAACCTGGATTTCTAAACTGTACATATTTGAAGCAGAATAGAACTATTAAATTCAATATAAAAATTTTCTCTTTGCCAATGTAATTACTAGGGCTGCAAAAATTCAATTAAAGAAGATGAGATTTTGCTATGGGCTGAAAAAGAAGCAAAGAGAAATGAATACAGCATCAGGTTTTGCTGTATGTGAGCATGGACTGGAACTCTAGGACTGCATCCAATGGAATTATCTACTTGACAGAACTGTGAATATTCAATAAAATGATTTATGAAAAAATACAATACCTAGCATGTGGTAAACATGTGACAGATATTAGAACTTATAATGATTATGTATTTCTGCTTACATCTTTTTAAGTCTCTTCCAACTCCCTATTAGAACATAGGAAGATGCTTAAATTATTTTTCCAAAATCATTTTGGAAAAATTATTTTTTGGAATAGATCATAGAAGAGGAAATATAAACAACATAAAGGCAAGTAAAGAAATGTCACACTGTCATCCCCATTTATGAATTGCTGTCATCAGGAAAACTGTTATGAGGAAAGCAGAGAGTCTCAGGTATGTTGGGCCAGGCAACACTGTAGTAGCGAAACCAGAGGGGAAAGAATAGAAAGAAAAAGTAGTTAAGAGGACTGCTTATATTTTACGTGTTTGTATATATTTGATATATTACTGATGTAATTCACTGATGGTGATGTTTTTGTCAAAGACAATCAAAGTAGGCAGCAGGAAAGAGGATTTGAGGTACCAGGAGTATAGTGGCACTCTCCTGGGCACTGGCTCTGGAATCAAGTCAACTAGGTTCCATGCCCAATATTCACAAGACAGACTAATGACCATCTTTTTGTCTTCAAATACTTCTTGTAAAATAACAGTGCTGAATGACCTTCAGGGTTAGTCCTACCCTGAAACTCAAGCATATAACTCTGAGTATGAAAACACCTCCCGGATCTAGTCCCCTAGATTCTTCGAAGCTCTGCTGCTCTTTCAGGCAAGCCCGCTGTTTTAGCCCTCTACTGTATTTTTGTAATCCCGAAGCTCCAGTTGTGTGAACGGTGTTATCGCAGGCAGCACGCACAAAAGCAGTTGGTATGGTGGGAGTGAGTTGCCGTGGGTGGCTAAACAGATTAAAGAGGACAAGGTTGGAAGAGAATGTTGTGTGTGACAAAGAAAGCAGTCCTTTCTCCTTTGACAGCCTCTTGCTATATTTCTGAATAACATCTTTCCAAAGACAAGTGCCAAAATGGGGGCATGAAAAATAGCTTGAACTTTGGAGTTAAGCAGACCTGAGTTTGAATCCAAGCCCTGGATCTGAGATATCTAACTCTAGGGTTTTTTGTTTGTTTGTTTGTTTTAATCTTTGGGATTCTGATGGTTTACAGTTTATGAAGTTTAAATGAAATAATATTACCCAGCAGATAGTAAATGTTCATAAATATTCTCTTAACTTTGCCTCTCAGAATTAGCTTCATTCTTTTCCCATCTTGCCCATAATATGAAAGACTAGTCAAAAACAAAACAAAACAAAACAAAACCAAATACGCAGGGATGCTTAGAGATCTTATCTAGAGGATGTAAACAGCCTGGGGTGGGGAGAGAAGGATGCTAAACAGAGAAAAAGCCATAGCCAGAAACAGATAGCCCGGTCTCTCCGTAATGAAGCCTTTTCCTTTGGGTAGCCTCACAATTCTTTGGTTCCCCAAAACCGCGAAAGCGTTTATTAGAATAGCACTCCTAACTGCTTTCCCAACACTTCGCCAAAAGAAAGATTCACTGCGCAGGCAGAGGAAAGAGAACGAGGCACCACACGTCTCATACCCACCCGAAGTTAGCTAAACTGGATCCTGAAGTGGCACCCGCCCCTTGCTCCTCTACCAGAGGGAGGCAAGAGCATCACTTCTCTTCGTCGCTTGCTCCATCTGACCCCTTTTATTTGGTTCTAACGCAGTTTCTGCCTGCGGGAAATGCTGGCAAAGGGTGAGCCGCCAGTTCTCGGGCAGCATAAGCTCTCCTCCTCGCAGAACTTTCAGCACCGCGGACAGCTCCAGGCCCGCATTAGGCTACCTGCCCTGTTGTTCTCCAGGACCGCTTACCCCAAGGAGGAGGTGGGGGAGGGGTGGGGCGGGTTATCTGTATGTTTTTGCCAGCTTCGGCTAGTGACTGTCTCCAGAGTTCTGAGAGAAACCCTTCACCAGAGCCGGTTCCTTTGCACCTTTCAGTTCAAGACCCCAAAGAACCAAGCTTTGCGCAGGGAGTCGGGGTCAAGGGGGTTAGGAGCAGGCTTGCTGTTCCAGCTTTCCCCGTTTACCCTTGGCCTTCCTTTCGCTTCTAGGCATTTGGCGACTTTCTCTCTTACTCTTCAATCACGATACAAAACACACGTTATCGACGGGGCTCAGGAGGGGGAAGGAAGTTCGGGCTACCTCCCGCGAGGCCACTTTGCCCTACTCGGGCCCTCTGGGTTCGCAGGAAGCTGACGTGCTTTGGGATGGGGAAGAGGCGAGGCTCTGACCCGGGAATAAGTGCAAGCGAGAATCCCTCCCCGGGGCTGCCCCCCCCCCCACACACACACAGTGGCTGGGGAGCGTCTCTGGACACTTCTCCCAGTACGTCCACCTCGCCTCCCCGGTAGGTCACCGCTCCCTGGGGACAGATGTCCCTGGGAGCGCACGGGCCAGGTCAGGGCACCTGGCTTCGCTGGAGTCCCTTTGAAGAGTTTGCTCTCAGGTAAAAAGGCAGACGTTGTCCCGCCCTCCCCTGAGGGCTGCGGCCGGAAAAGCGTGTCTTCCTTTCCCTGGGCTCATTCCCAGGCCGAGAACAGAGAGGCGGGAGCCGGGTGCCATAACGGTGAGGGTAAGAGGCGTCCGTGGGGACCCGGGTGGCCAGGACGCTGCTCTGCTCGCGGCTCCCCTTATGCCTCTCGCCCCGGAGGCGCTGAGGCTGCTTTTGCCCCAGCCCCGCCTGGCAGCTCCCGCAAGTCCCCAAACGCTGGACGCTGCCTGGGCCCCATTCCAGGTCAGAGCCTGAGAGATACCCCGACCCAGCTCCTTGCTTCTTCCAGGGGACCCCTTTCCGAAGGGCGCTCTCACCCTCCGCGCCATGTTCCTGCTTCCTCCCTCCCCACGGCTCCGGCTCTCCGGGGCATTCAACCAAAGGCGATCATCCCGTTTGCAGAGGTCCAGCTGGGATGCAGGGGGCGCGGAGGGGTATGGACTGCGGTGAAGGGGCACTTTCACTCACCGGAGGGCTGGCGGCGATGAACTGGCTGCCCGACTGGTGTCTGGCCGTCCGCACTTAGAGCGCCCGGCTCTCTCTCCCACTGTGATGCGGGGTGCTGGTGGCCCAGGAAGCGAGAGGCAGCCGCTGCTGCAGAACAGCTCCTCAATTATTCAGATACCACCCCCCTCCCGCCCGAGGCCTGTCTGTCATCCCTCCAGCTCGTCTGTCTCCGCCTTCCTGAAGTCACGTGGGCTAGTCAACCCTTATATTTCTCAACCCAAGCCTCGTACCAGACGACCCCCCCCCACACACACACCTCACACACACACACACACACACACACACACACACACACACACACACACAAGCAATCTGCGATTTTCAACGCCTCGCTGGCCCACTGAGCCTCCCGGAGGGGCTTTAAGTATCCCAGGCTGTCCAGAGACCGAGGGGGCCAGAGATGGGAGCAGTGCTCTGCCCTGGGAAAACAGGAACAGACAGGACTGCAGTGTCCGTGTGTTGAGAGGTGCCTGTCAGCAGCCCCGCCTCTGCTGGACTCAGCACTGAGGAAAGCTGGCTACTCAGACCTGCTTCCTGCCCTCTGAAAGCTTACCCACCTCCTCCCCTGAGCTATTGCTGCTCTTAAATTTCTTCCACCTCCCTCTGCATTATTGGAATGAGAGGATGGGAGAGACGGAAAATTTCTCTCCTTCCCCGCCAAATCAAGACCCCTTCCTTCAAAGCTAAAATAGGCCAAGTTTTTCTTTGGGTTCTCAACCCAATCTTGTGAGTGGATTTGGTATGTGAAGACCCATCAGGAATTTCAGTCCATGTGAGCTTGAGTTATTTCACTTCCCCTAGCCATATTTTCGTCGGGAAAATGACCACCTCACAAGACTGTTAGGAGAATTAGAAATGATAATGATCTTGACATTGCCTAGCCCAGTGCTGGATATTACATATTGGGAACTCAATAAACGAGAGTTCTTCCTCTGCCTCTGTTAAACAAAAATTTCAGAAAATAAGACAGTTGTGATTTGTGTCTGTGGAATGGAGGTATCTTTTGTAAACTTGGAAGGGGGTATCTGTGAGGTCAGACTAGGCCGACAACCAGTTTGGGAACAGGAGAGGCACAAGGCTCATATTTTCCATTGGTTCTGGTAAGATGAATATCCCAGAGCTATGTTATATATTAAAAAGATGAGGAGTAAATGGTATGAACCCAGACATATTTGGCCTCATCAGAGAATTATTTAACATGCATTGAGTAGACTGATTTGGATGGAAAGTACCTACATGAACTCTTGCATCTATAGTCCAAGCCCTTAAGATATATGGGAGCTAATGAAATGTAACTCCCTGCCCTTGGAAACAAATTCACTGGACTTTTATTTGAGAATACTGGCTGACTGATACCCCCTCCCTAGGATGGAGCAGTTCAAAGCTACCTTTAGGCCTTGTGTTTTAGCTCAGAGGCCCTGCGTTCTCCCCAGAAAAATGACTGACCAGTGCCAGGACAGTCTTGGTAAAAACCATTTAGTTGAAGCTTATTACCATCTTGGACCAGCATTGAGGCCTGAAGTCTTGGCACATCCCCTCAGTTTAAATTTATGAGAGTCTTGCAAGAGCAAGGTATATCAGGCTCAAGAAACTGTGAAACACTGCATGGAGTTAAAGAATTAGAAATTTTTTGAAGTCATAGTTCAGGCCCCGCCAGTTACTTATTTTAAAATCTTTGGTAAATGACTCAATCTCTCAGTCTCATCTTTAAAATGGGAATAGAACAGCTATCTACCTTCTCCATGAGACAGTTGTAATGTTAAAATGAAATAATGTATGAGAAACCATCCTGTGAAAGGTAAAGAGCAAACAAGTATCAACTACTGATGTTATGGACTGAAGAAAACCCTAAATTTATTTTATCCCGATGCAATATGGACATGAAGGGATGGGAAGATGGGATTTGTCATGGAATGAGCAGCTACTAAAATGTCAGTGTATTTCTGTGGGCCCCTGTGTGTCCATGTAATTCAAGGGGTATAGTGTTGTGAATGAGGCATTTTTAAATTTTCACTCTCTCCTGTGATGGATTTCTATATTAAATCTCATCCCCCCCCCCAGCTTTTCAGTTTTAGAATAGCACTAGCCACAGTCACAGTGGTTATGAGTATTTAATATCTGAGATAAGTTTATGCTGGTATTTCAGAACAGCAGAGTTTAGACTTTTCTGCCTCTGCTGGTTAAAATTGATTTGGATTCAAATTCAGAATGGGTTTGATTTCAAGAAAAATATTTAACATCAAAAGGGTAATTCCTGGTTACTCATCAGTACTTTGAATGGTGAAATGCCAGTAGACCTAGTGAAATCTGCACAGAAACCAAGAACTCCTAAGGAGATTCCCCTACACTGAAGCAGTCCAGTTTCCTGGTTTACTTCTTTATAACAGTCCTTAGCATGTTCAGTCTAGATCCCTTATATTTAGGGAGACCAGAAAATACCAAGCCATGCTTCTATATGTAGCATTTTAAAAAATTGTTCAGACTAGGTAAGTTGCTGCCTCTGACTCCTATCCACCTTGGTGTTGTCATGAGAACACATGAGAAATGCAAGACTATGCATGCAATAATTTAATTTTGCCTCAAAAATGGTGCAGTTACTCAAATGAGTATAAATTTCTGAATATTGTGGGCAGTTTCACCAGAAATTGCTCTGAGACTCTGAATAATTTTTTTCAAATTAGTTTTAAATGCCCAAGTCAACTTTACCCAGCAAAGAGTAGAAGAGAGAGCTTGGAGAACAGATCTTGCATAGATTACAGTAGAAAGTTACACCTTAACAATGATTTCTTGATAATGTGTCCCTTGGGTCCTACCTCTTTACTTGTGAGCTCGTATCTTTTACCTGTTGACTATTACCTTTGTAAGCCACTGTAGACACTTTCCAGTTGTTGGGAGAGCACTCACGAATGAATTAATAGAAATGCAGTAGATAAAAGTGTAGTTGAACATTTAGAGACACACACAGGAGCAACAACCGATGCATATCTCAGTTTCAGGGTTGAACAATGACACAGAGTGACTGCTAATTAGATCTTGAAAGTACACATCCCAATTTTATTGTTCCAACAATTGGAATATGGAGTTTTTATTCATTTATTCACCATGTTCTAGATACTTGAAACAATAGCCATAAACAATACAAAATGATTCCTTCTCTCCTTGAGCTTACAGATTAGTGGAGTGAGTCGGACCCTAAACAAGTAACCAAAGAACTTGAGTAAAGTTCCTGATCAAAACAAAATAGAGTGATATTGTAAGGGATGAAGGGCCACCACTTTACTTGAGTGGTGGAAAACTGACAAAAGCAAGGGCCCAGACACAAAAGTTGTTGCTCTCCAAGGAAGGGACAGTGCCCTCTTACTTAAGACCTTTTGCCAAAAGCCTGCCATTTTCAGGGTAACCACTAAAATAATTCATGATTGACCAGTTTGATTGGATTAGGGTTAGGTCACGAGGGCATTGGCCAGATGCCTTAGAAACAATTTCCTATTTTTGTCTCATGATTCATGATGATGTGTACTTAAAGCATTCTCCTAGAAGAATTCCCAGCTCATCAATGCACCTGATTTTTGACTCTGGGAAGATTCAGAACCTGACAAACCAAAGATACTGTAACAGTCTGACCAGGGTCCAGTTCAGAACACTTTAAAGGGAGAGGTGGTTCAGAGAAGCAGGAGAAGAGAAGACACAGAACCAGATCCCAGTCTACCATAGGCACACAATAAAGATATATTAAATAAGTAACCTGCTGTTAGTATCCTACCAATGTATAAGCTAAATTGTCTATGAGTAGTTATCATTTGAATATCTAATTAGTAAGAGGAAGAAAGGGGAGGCTGACCTGAGCATGTTCATTTTATTTCTTCCAAATTTACAAAGATATATAGCAACTCCCCCCACCCCCACCGTAACACCATCCCTGCTTGCAGAGCGAATAAAGTTGCTTAATGGTAAAGCTGTGGAGAGAGGTCTGGAGTGTCAGACCAGTGGAGTTCCTGACATGGAAGGAAACATGAAAGCAAATACTTCTTCATATTTATTACATGTTTTCTTTCTATCCATTCACTTTTCTACTTAAATAAAAATTTTAAAGAGGTTCCTAACATCATTTTAAATAGAAAACTGGTATCTGTTGCCATAAATACAAAATAACCATTTAAATAAACACAGTAAAAATAAAACAGTACTATTACAGTCAAGCTAAATACTATTGCCTTCCAGATAATTTGAAACTCGCTTTCACCTTATTAAAAAAGAAAATCAGCAACTTTTAGAGAGGTATTAAAGACATGTTAGCATCAAACTGAGGCTTTCTCCATGAAGTCATCAAATAGTTTTGAAAGATAAGAGGAAAAGGTTTAACTTCCTAACTCTGTGATTAGAGGCCATTTAGTGCTGAGTCCTACTACCACGTAAGTCAGTATTTCCCCTAACTTTAATGTGTGTAGAAATCATCTGGAAATCTTGTTAAACATGTAGAATTGGATTCACTAGGTCTGGGTATGACTTAAAGATTTGTATTTCTAACACAATCACAGTGATGCTGGTGTTGCTGGTTCTTGGACCATTCTCTGAGTAGCAAGAAACTAAAGTACCAGTGATGTTATGTGTCCCACATTTGGGGATATGCTACCTCTTTTTTCTTTACTTTTTAAAAAATATATTTTATTTATTATACTATTACAGTTGTCCTATTTTCCTCTCTTTATTCATCTCTGCCCTGTACCACCCCTCCCACACACATTCCCCACCCACTAGTTCATGTCCATGAGTGGTACATATATGTTCTTTGGCTTCTACATTTCCTATATTATTCTTAACCTCCCCCTGCCTATTTTGTACCTACCATTTATGCTTCTTATTCCTTGTACCCATTCCTCCATTCTCCCCCTCCCCCTCCCTGCTGATAAGTCTCCATGTGATCTCCATTTCTGTGATTCCATTCCTGTTCTAATTGTTTGCTTAGTTTTTTTTTTTTTTAGGCTCAGTTGTTGATAGTTGTGAGTTTGTCATCATTTTACTGTACATATTTTTTATCATCTTCTTTTCCTTAGATAAGTCCCTTTAACGTTTCCTATAATAAGGGTTTGGTGATGATGAACTCCTTTAACTTAACCTTATTAGGGAAGTACTTTATCTGCCCTTCCATTCTAAATGA